CTGCGCTGATTTTCAGCGAAAGTATTTGTCGTAGAGAGGAGTTACTCCTAATCTTCTCTTTCACATGGTTATCCACCATTTGTCGAGCACTTCCCATCTGTTCAGTGCCATGGAAAGCTTTACTTTGCTTTCCCAGTGGTCTCTGGCACTGCCCTTTTTTGAGTTTAAGACTATTTTTCTCAGTTTTACAGACAATTTGACTCTGTCTACAGCATCTGGATTTCGTGGCCATGTCTACAAACTGTGCTTGGTAACAGAAGGCTTTGCAGTTGGACTGAAAACTGCATCTGCTGCAACCATCATTGCAAGACAACACATTATTTGAAGATTCTGTGAGACAGGCTCCCCAATCCAAATCTCTGCTTGTGTAACAGGGAGTGATGTTTCCATAATATCCATGAACCATAGTGAATTGTCACACAACGTCTTTTCTTCTAAAGAGGTACCTATCAGCTCAACTTTTGCTGTGGTCAGTCATCATTTCCACCATAAAGTTCTACTTCTTTGTACTTATAAAATATAGCAATAAAGCATCATGCCAAGATTAAACTTGGCATACAAGTTCTGTCCAGAAGTAACCCTGATTAATCTTTCTCAGCTAGCAAGTAAACTGACTTAGACATTTTTAAATCACTCAAAAATAAAAGCTGTAGAGGGTCTGGTTCTCAACACTGCCTTGCAGTCTCAGCATCCCTTGACCTCTCAGCTAAAAGGGTTTGCAAGGATTCCTCCTGAATCTGAACATCCTGAGGAGGCTTTGTGCCATGGATGGGACTCCATATGCTGCTCTCTGCGTCACCTTCGCTATAGGGACTGAGGCTGAAGGAAGACATAATACCTGGATTACTATGTGCTGTGCTAATCAGAGCTCAGAATTGAATATAATACATTTGGGTGTTTTCCATTTGCATCACTGGCGATGCCAGCTGCAGGAACAAGGACGTCACAGCCTTAGCAAGGACATCTCGGGCACTTCATGGAATCACCTGGAGTATTTCCATGTGGCCATGCAGAGATTTCTATACTCCTCATCCTACTGTTTCATGAAGTGTTTGGAGAATTAGATTGGTAGGAATCAGTCTGGCAAAGTGTTCAGGAACACTACATTTTAATGGATGGACAGTCTACTGCAATACCTGCTCAGTCATTTTTTGGAAAGTAGATGTAGTGGCAGTCTTCTCTTCAAAAGCTGTTCTTCCTTGTACTGAACTCTAAGTTCTGCCTGTTCTCTGCACCACCAGAGATTTGTTGTTTGTAGCTGTTTAGAGGCTCTCACTTGCATTAGGATTCCACCGTGCTCTGTTATTCAGCCTTTTACAACTTTCAACCCTGAACATGCCTCCGAACCCCAACACCCATCAAGTTTCATGAGTGCATTCTAAGGGCAAATTAGGGCTTTGCTAATGGATCCTACTGTGAGATCTGACCTTGAAGTGATCTGTTTTCCCATCTGCAGATTTCCAAGAACAAAGAGGGAAAATAAATTACTACTCCAAATATCTGCCTCATTCCGATTAATCACGCTCATGACGCATGTAAAGACTTTTTGGGAGCACTAGTTATTGCTATCACCAAGTCTCAACTGCTGTCTTTTCTAGAGATTCCAAAACCGACATATACTTCACAGTTCAGCTTTCCTGTTGCTACAATATGTTAGCAATTAATGTGCAATAAACAAGCAGACAATTGTTCCATTTCCAGGGAATAAAATCTCTAAGGATATAAAATGGAATAGGAACTATCCATCCTTCCCCATATCCTGAGAGCTGAAAATAGAGCAAGTAATTAAAATCCTCAAACACACTACATTGTTTAGGCCACAGTTAAACAGCCACTTCAATTTGGCATCTGTTTTCACTGCTCCTGAAAACCTGTCCTCTCCTTATCCTTTACCTACTCACTCCCCGCTCCTCCTGGTGTCAGCATAAGAGTTCAAGCAACCCAAGGTGGGACACAGAGCTGTCTCTACCAAAACCAAGGTTTTTTTGCTTAGCTTAGCGTTCGGCTGGGTCAGTCCCCTTGATGTGACTCACTGTAGTACCACATGAATGCCAAAGGAGGAGAGGGTGAGATGAGGTGAGGATTGCATAAGCTCGTGTGACTGCCAAAGAAACGCTCATGTAACCACAGCCCCAGTCCCAGTCTTATTCCTGGGGGCAGAAATGTGAGAGGGAGCCTGCTTTCTCCACCGACTTGCTCTCTCCGTCGGTCCCCTTTGGCAGTGGCAGCCTCCCAAATCCCCAGGGTCTGGAGCAGCTTCTCTGGGTAGCAGGATTGCTAAGACATGCTGGGAAAACCCCAGCAATGCAGCGCTAACGATCAGCACATGTAACAGGACAAACACACACAACCAAAAGGACATTGCTCTGATCTGATGCAAGTCAACTGATGTTTCTCCTTTGTCATGGCTTCCCCAGTTCAAGGGCTGAAGGAGGAGGTTAAAGGGTTGAGAAAAGGGACCCTGAGAAGATGAGGAAGAGAACAAAATTAAAAATTGTAACACTTCATTACACTTTCACCTGCAAATCTCTTCTTTTCCCTAAGCAGACTGTGTGCTCAACAGCCAGAGGTCACTAAATTGTGAGGATTTTCCTGCTGCCTGGAGTGAACTTCACTGTAAGGAGGAAAAACGTCAAACACAGCTGGCTGGCTTGCAGTTGGCATCTCTTTCAAGTTCTGCATTGCCCTTTGTTTTGCATGAAACATAACTCTGCAAAGCCAAGACAGACACGGGGGCTGCCCAAATGGTTTGATAAACACTGTCTTAAAGGAAGTACATTTGCCTACTTGGCTTCTTTTAAAATGTAACTAAGGCACCCATTTTTTCTGCTCACTCTAGAACCACTTTGCTCCCAGAAAGGTATCTCAAAGGAGCGAGAGCGATGTTCGTGAAGTCCTGCTGCATGGTGTTTATAAGTAAATTGATGCTGGGCTGATAGTTTGTATAGAAGACCACTTCTCTTGTTTAATGGTACCTTACAGGGTCAAGGAAATGCAAGTTTAATATAACAAATTTAGAGCTTTCTGTTCTATATGCTCCTGAGACTAACAAAACTACTATAACTAAACGTTACTTCACCAGTCACATCTCTAAAAGAAAATGACTCAATAAGCAGGGCAATGTCATTTGCTTCACACTGATTTTATTAAAAAGCTAGAAAAATTCAGCAGACATCTCAAAAATCTATTCTACGATGACCTCATGAGAGATGATTTACATGCAACCATATGTTTATGCTTGATTCAGAAGCAGACTGATGATTGCGTTTATGGCTTGTGAGATGTTCAGCTGGCCAAAAAAGCTGCACTATACATGTAACCACAACAACTTCGTAAAGGAAAACTCACACAACGTGCCCCATATGCACTGTTCTCACTTGCACTTGCTTGGAACAGTTTTAACTACACACATTCTCCAGACCCTAAAAAGCACCTTTCTACACCCACCTTCCCTCTGCACATTACGGGGTGCAGCTAAGCAGGCTACCCTGGCTCTGAACAGGCTGATGCTTTCCTCACACTGGGAAAATGTTCAGCTGTCCACGCACAGCAGATTTATGAACATTCTGTGTCAATCTGACAACTCCAAAAGACTCGGGCAGGGAAAAGATTTAGCCCTATAAATAATATTATTTGAACTTCTCTCTCCACTGGCTACAGAGTAATTCACTGTAAAAGAAAAGCACGTAGTTAAAACTGGAAAAAACACAGAGATGGGTTTTCAGAAATGCTCTGCATTTGTCTGGTCCTGCTCTAGCTTGAGCAGGGTAAGTCCCATAGCTGAGCACTTCTGAATGTCCACTGAGGCTCTGGAGTAATTGCTTCTTGGAGGAAAACGGTACGTACATTAAAAGGTGTTATACACCATATAATAAAAACAGCTCTTTTGCAAGTCTCGTGGTATGAAACTCAGCTGTTTTGTTCTGCACAGGTTGCCCTAACTGTTCACTTGGTTTCGATCCATCTGGATTTTCACCACAGAATTTTGCTTTGAGTTTCCAATTTGAATACACGAAAGCTCTGCCAAAACCACATCACATTCAAACCACAGGAAATCATGAATTTGGCACTGTTTTGACATGGAAGCTGTAAACAGTGTGCAGGTTCACTCAAAACTGGATCACTGTCTTTTGAGTTATGAAACACAACAAAACTTCCAGCAAACCAGGTCAGAATCCTCAATTACTAAAGCAAGGAGAAATTGCACGACATTTGCATAGGTCAGGATTTTGTTATAAATACTTTCTCCTAGCTTTTTCCCTTTAGATATAAACATACTATGTGGAAGAATAGGAAGAGAAGTTGGGTTTCCTTTTTCCAAGTTTGAATTAAAACAGGATTCAGCTAATTCTGATAGCTCCACCATACATGTATCCTACTGAAGACAAGGGCAGTTTCCTACTGGCAGTCTTGAGCATGAATAACCATAAAAGCCAGTTATACTGAAGATATGAATACGGTTTAGTTTTATGCACAAAATGATGGGTAGGCAGCTTGCAGCTAACTTACACCACTGCTACAGGACCAAGCATCCCATTCAAAATCCACTAGATTTTCAGCTGCCAAACACTGGATTTTTTTCCCCAGGATTCCCGTTAGCAAACCACAAGGAACTTTTATGAAAATGGAAAAGTCTAAAGTATGACTTTGCCTTCAAAATAAACACTGCCCTAAAGAAATACGTATTTGTAAAGAAGTCACAAGTTCACTGAGGATGAAAGGAAAACAATTCAGATTTCCAGACCAAGCCCAAAACCAATTCAGATTCCAAACTTACTCAAGCCAGAAGTTTGAATGCAGAGCTATGTGAAGGTGGTTTGACTGAAGTCAAACAAATAGGAAGCAAAATGCAGTCATGCAAAGCAAGATTTGTATTACTGAACTGCCTGCAAAGAAAAGGCAGTTTAATCTTCCTGGGTTTCTTTTCTACCAGATTTTTAAACCAGACATTTTGAAGGTCAGAAAACCTCTGCAGGAATCCATAACACACAGAACCATACATGGGACATAGCTGACCTGTCATAGAGTTCTCGGATGTACACAGTTGCTCTCGCAGCTTTTCCACATCATCTGGATGAACCTGTTCATACAACGTGCTGCCAAACCATTCGGACTGTGGCTGGTTCAGCACAGGAGTCACAGAATCCGACACGTAGATCACTCTTCCCGTCTCAGCTGCAACTACAAACAGGAACCCATCCGCAGCCTCCAGGATAAGATGTTTCAGTTCCTTCCAAAGAAAGGATTTGATCAGAATGGGGGATTCAGAAGGGAATTAAATAACACATCTGTCACTGCCAAAGAATATTGGTTTTTAGCAGTCTTAGCAGTTGATCACAAACTAGGTAGAACTTTTCACTGTAGTACTGATGTAACAACACAACCAAACTTGGAGCAAGACACAAATTGCTGATGTTATAAACAAACAACATTTTGTTTTCCTTTATTGCCTTTCATCTGGTGATCTCAATGCACTTTAGGAAAATAAAGCAACTAAACCTTACTGCATATTTTGCGATAGGCATCTAAAATTAAAAAAAAAAGTTATTTAAGAGTACAAACAGAGGAAATGAACAGCTATAACTCATACAGCAAACTCATCTGATAATTAAATGTCCTGAATAATTTAATTGGAAAGAAACCAACAAGTCTTTCTGGGGTTTTTTGTTTGTTTGGTTTGGGTTGGTTTTTTTTTCCCCTCAGGACGAGCTCTGTTTGTAAATTAAACAGTCACCGGATAAAAAGCAGAAAGTGTAATGGGAACAAGGATGGGAATCCTGGGCCTTCTCTCCCATTAGGGGCCCCGAGCCAATACACACGAAGGTTGTATCACTTCTAGCTTTCCTTTTCCAGCCTGTGAATATGAAGACTCGGAGATCCAAAAGGTCTGACACACGCCTCTCTTTGGCCTTTTCTTTACATAGTCCCTAATCATAGAATCATAGAATCACAGAATGGTTTGGGTTGGAAGGGACCTTAAAGCTCATCCAGTCCAACCCCCCTGCCATGGGCAGGAACACCTCCCACTGCCGCAGGCTGCCCAAACCCTGTCCAACCTGGCCTTGAACACTTCCAGAGAGGAGGCATCCACAACTTCCTAGGGCAACCTGTGCCAGTGTCTCATCATCCTCACAGTAAAGAATTTCTTCCTAATATCTGTTGATATTCCTATCCTGTTGACACCCATTCCCCCTCATTCTATCGCTACCTGCCCTTGGAAAAAGTCCCTCCCCAGCTTTCCTGTAGGACCACTTCAGGAACTGGCAGACTGCAATAAGGTCACCCTGGAGACTTCTCTTCTCCAGCCTGAACAGCCCCAACTCTCTCTCTGCCGGTCCTCGTAGAGGAGGTGCTCCAGACCTCTGATCATCTTTGTGGCCCTCCTCTGGACCTGCTCCAACAGCTCCATGTCTTTCCTATGTTCAGGGTCCCAGAACTGGACACAGTACTCCTGCTGTGGTCTCATGAGAGCAGAGCAGAGCAGAGGAGCAGAACCACCTCCCCCACCCTACTGGCTGCACTTCTTTTGATGCAGCCCAGGATGCAGTTGGCCTGCAAGTGCACGCTGTCAGCTCTTGTTGAGTTTTTCATCGACTGACACCCCCAAGCCCTTCTCCTCAGGACTGCTCTCGAGCCATTCTTCACACAGCCTGTATCTGTGCTTCTGTATTTGTGCTTGGGATTGCCCCTACTCAGGTGCAGGACCTTGCACAGGCCCACCACTCCAGCCTTTCCAGGTCCCTCTGGATGGTATCCCTTCCTTCCAGCGTCTCAACTGCACCACACAGCTTGGTGCCATCCACAAACTTGCTGAGGGTGCACTCGATCCCACTGTCCATGTCACTGACAAAGATGTTAAACAGTACCAGTCCCAGTACCGATCCCTGGAGAACACCACTCATCACCGGTCGCCATTGGGACATTGAGCCGTTGACTGCAACTCTGAGTGCAACCATCCAGACAGAGAGTTACGAGAGAGAGCATTACAGCCTAATTTATCTTGTTGCATCCGAGTTTAGGGGCACTTCTACATCCATATGTTTGGCATCATTCTTTTGAATTGTACCAGTCCCAGTACCGATCCCTGGAGAACACCACTCATCACCGGTCGCCATTGGGACATTGAGCCGTTGACTGCAACTCTGAGTGCAACCATCCAGACAGAGAGTTACGAGAGAGAGCATTACAGCCTAATTTATCTTGTTGCATCCGAGTTTAGGGGCACTTCTACATCCATATGTTTGGCATCATTCTTTTGAATTTGTTTTTCGTGTCTTACTAGGAATTACTGCTGCTGTTATATTGGCCAGTCACTCAACACTCTGGGACCTTTCTGTAAATCTCTGCAGGAAGTTTAAGTTTTCATTGTCCTGAATAATTTTGTACCATCTCACTCTATTGACTGAAGTTTGCAGGCTGATGCTCTGCATTCTTCTGTCTGAGGGTCTTTCACTGATAATGACTCTGAGATCCAGACAGTCGTTATCAGTATCGTTACAACTGTTACACAGACCAGGAGGGACAAAGCCAACGATTGCCCAGCATCGCGCACCAATTTTGGCAAGTTTCAAAGGAGATCTCTACAACTACCTGAAAGGAGGGTGTAGAGAGGTGGGTGTTGGCCTCTTCTTCCATGTAACTAATGACAGGAGAAGAGGAAATGGCTTCAGGTTGTGCCAGGGGAGGGTTAAATTGATGATGCGGACAAATTTCCTCACTGAAAAGGTTATCAGGCACTGGAAGGGGCTGCCCAGGGAAGCGGTGGAGTCACCATCCCCGCAGGTGTTCAAAAACTGTGTGGATGTGGCACTCCAGTACATGGTTTACTGGGCATAGTGGCCTTGGGCTGGCGGTTGGACTCGATGATCTTACAGGTGTCTTCCAACCCTCATGATTCTGTGACTTCCTCTCTGCCCAGTCCTTTTCACATCCCTCCCTTCTTTGCTTCTTAAATCTGGAGCTGTTCTGCTGTGTAACTGTAGGTTTAATAACTGGGAATACGCTGTGTAGGAGGCTGAACTGGTGGGTAGCAGTGACACAGAAACCTGGAGCAGTCGTTCCAGACCGTAAGCGCTTGGCCCCAGGCGCTCTGGGGTTGTGCGTTAACACTTAGTGCCAGCGCCCCTCAGCTCCGTGGGCTGCTTGCCCGGTGAGCCGAGTTGGTGGCAGTGCCGTGACACTCAGACAGCGTGATGCTGCCCTGCTGTTTGCTGAATGCCAGGGGCAAGGAGGGAGGCAGGGGTGAGTGTGACTGGGGCCACAGCACAGGAAGCAGGGTGTCTCCTGCAGAACCAGGAGAGAAGGGGAAGGCAGCAGCGTGGCCTGGTGCTCTGTGCAAGGCACTGCCTGATGGCCACAGAGAACAGGGTGCACTCAGCTGCCTTTTCCTAATGGATTTTTTTATTTTCACAGACACTCTTCTATTTTTGCAGGCATCAGCAAAGTCAGCAGTCGTGGATGGCTTTTTGGAAAGCAGGGGGGGAGAAGAAAGGGGCAGAGAATCAGAACTGGTCCAAATGTGTCCAGACAAGCACTATGTATCAGTTGCTATGTGTTGAGGGCCAACTGCTGCCGAAGAGAAAACCTCTGGGAAAAAGAGGCCATTTCTTGACAGGCAGGCTCGAGAGACAACTGCAGGGGCTTCTTTGGGACCAAAGACGCCGTGGCTGCATGGCTTTTGGGTGGAGATGACGCATTTGAGGGCTGGAGCAGCAGGGATCTGATCCATTCCTACGACTGCCAAAATGGCAGGAGGCTCTTGCTGTTCCCTGACTGGCCAGGACTGGGAGAGACTGAGAACCGAGCCTGTAAGCAGTGCTTTGCACAACGCACTTGGGTTTTGGGATGGGACAGGACGGGATGGGAGCTGCTGTGATTAAAGGTGGTGTGTGCCTTCACGTGTACAGCTGGTAAAGTTCCCCTTCATTTTCCCAGCAGCCAAATGTGAATGATGTCCAGGGCTCTATTGCCATCCACCCTGAGAAATCAGCAATGTATCCTGCTAACGGAGCGCAGTGGTAGCAGCATCTTCATAGCGCTCATCTTCTTTGCCCTCCACCTTGCTCCTTTGGACCCCTTAGACCTTGCAAAGTTTCTCCTTCTTCTCCTTGAGCTCTGCAAGGACCCACCCACTTTGGGCATGATCCAAACTCCACCAAAGTTGGTGGAAAGTCTCCGTCTGGCTCATGGAGATTTTTAACAATCCCTTGGCCATCAAACTGGAGCCCAAAGGATGGGTGGCCTTAGCAGTTCTGGCCCTCCTCAGAGAAATCTTTGCCCACATTTCAAATTCGATCACTGAAACGTCCCTCCATTAGGAATGGACATGGGGAAGCGATCCCTGGGAAAGGGGCCCTCAGTTCCCCATAATTCTCTTCTTCCCCCCACAATAGGAGAGGTAGAGACCTCAGCGAGACAGCCCGTCCTCTGGAGAAGCAGAAGGCCACAAGTCTGCCAGGAAGAAGTGCCAGGCTCCAGGATCAAGGCCCGTTCCAGCTGCTTCCTTAGTGCTTCTCAAGACTGGATGAGAAAGACTGAACAAGCCCACAATAAACCAAGCCAGTAACAGCAGAAATGCTTTCCCCCCCCTCTTCTCTGGTCTTTTGGCAACAGTGTCTGGACTCCTCTGTCCCATCCTGGTCACCCAGCCCAGCCAAGACACCGGAGTGTGGGGTGCAGGCCCAGCCTTGAGCCCTGGGGATGGTGAAGGGCCCGGGGGCACATGAGGGCAGGCCAAGTGATCTGCCGCTGGGCCTGAGGCTGCTGAGGCCCTGGAGCAGGTTGCCCAGAGAGGCTGGCGCCGCCCCCCCCCCGGGAG